TCTTAATAATGGCACGGGGACTATAGCAGTATGTAATATAGCCTTTGTAATTCTGACTATTAACAAGGACTCCTAAATGCCTCATCAAGCATTATTTAATTATTTGAGACAGATTTTGTGTTATACTCACTGAAAAGCTAATTTAGGATCAGTAGCTAAGTTAGCAAGTGACCCAGCAAGCCACTCAATGGGGACAATTCAATGCTGTATTGTTGTCTTATACGTCCCATCCCATATGCAGGAATTCATTTTTCCTTCAGTAATATGACCATAAAACTCAAGCACCAGTTAAACTGTGGTGTGAAAATATGCATCAGAATCAGGTGATTTGGTGGAAAAGTGATTGAGAAGAAAATCAAACAGTTACAGTGACAATTACACATTTAAACCTTAGAGATTTCTGAAAGTCTCAGTGTATCCCTCAAATGTCAAATTACTACTGTACTTTGAATGTAGGAAACATTGCACTCATGACTTAATGAAGGGAAGGGCTGGGTATTAAGATAATCTTTGATTCAAAAGGAATTGAAATACTAGAATTTCAGAGCCTAAAGTTCAACTAGACCAATTTCTTCCACCCACACTGCAGGAATTCCCTCAATCTTCATTAAATTTATAACAAGAGGGCTGACAGAATTTTCTATGTGGACACGTTGGGAGAGAGGATGATTTGATCATTGCCATCCAATAGTAGCTTTTCTGGAGGCACCAATTAAACAGCAATTAGTGTACTGAAAGAATGTGGCCTATTCAACAGGATTTTTACAAACACCACTTGCTCACACCTGCATAAACCACTTTGGATACAAATATGCATTGTAGGATATTATTCTTGGACCATACCATCCTCTCTCAAAGCAGCTTCCTTAGGTTCTGCTGAAAAATTTTGAGGTCTATTAGGAAAACATGTGAAACATTGAACACATTCATTCACTTAAAAAATAATAAAATGTTCATTGAGTTGAAATAATGGACTCTTATTCCAAAGCACATCTCCTCTCCTGGCAGCATGCTAGGTGGCCTTTGAAGTGTATTAGAATTTCTTGCAAAAATGGAGGGAAACTCTACCAAAAGAGAAAGGTTATATCTTGCTACCAATTATATTATATTTTTATGTGTGTATATATGTATAATGATATAATTTTATATTATATACATCATATAAAATTCCAGTCCAGACATATATCTGGACTGGAATGCAGAACTCTTGGTCAGCAAGGTTGATGGGTTGTGTGATGAACAGAACTCCTACACTGGCAAAAAGTGTGACTCAGATTAAATGTTTCATAGAAATAAGGGCTTCATCTGGCCTAAATCTAAAAGGACTTGTGGTTTGTGACATTCAAAGGATGGTGCCTGAGTGCTTGATCTCCTGAAGATGAACAGTGTATAATGAATTATCCACATTCTGACTGGTTTTGTAGGCAGTGCAAATGAAGGAAACACACCACTATATATATGTGTACATACATAGTATATGTCCACACATAGTGTATATACACACAAGTACACATACTTATACATCCCCATATACATATATATGTGTGTGTGTGTGTGTGTGTGTGTGTGTGTGTGTATGGTGGCAGGTAATTTTCACGAACATTCCTTCATATATATGTGTGTATATATATACATATATATGAATTTCATACCTAACAAAGCTCTATTCACAAAAAATTCTTCATATTTTCAACTGGGTATAAAGTGAAAGAAATGTAAATTATGTATTATGGTCATGAAATCATTTATGTACATTTAAAAGATATCCATAGTGATGCTGATGGTCAATTCCAGAATGCTTAGCCTAAACTTAACCTATTATTCTCACCTTGATAGAAAAGCCAAATAAATTGTATGCTTTAAAATCTCTAATACGATTGCAGTTCTTAGACATTTAGTTTTATAGTCTCTTGTGAAAAGTCCTTCTTATTTCTTAACTTTGGTGGCATAAAAAAGTAGATGAGTTCAAGTGGTTTAAAATTTACATTTATGTTGCACACCAAGGCATGCACTACAGTGGGCTGATAAAATGGCTTCATTTTTCTACTCTCTTGTTATTTTGGTTATAGATCCTATTTTCTATTGTCACCCGAATTTTAGAAAATTTTTTTCACTTGTCCTAGGAAAATAACAAAATGTTTCATGGTTTTTGTACACTTACCATCCCATTTTCTATACAGCAAATACAATAAATCAATATTTCAAAATTACATTAATTCCATCCTGCACTGGTATAAATGCGATTTGGGTAATGAAAGCAAACGCACAGGACCACGAATTTTATAAAATATAAAAATAAAAACACTTTCAAAACTAGAAAGTCAAGTTAACTCTGATCCATTTTTCTTAATGTGTTGAAACTACAACCACTGATATTATTGAGGATTTCAGAAAATAGACCCACATAGAGATTCCGATAACTACGAATTATAGCTTTGTGAAATATTGACTGTGTAGTCAATATCTCATCTCAGATTCATAATCATTATCACATACTCACCATAAATACTGTTCTTATCTAGGGAATGATTCACATATTAAACCTGAGTATTTGCATCAAGAGCAAATATATATAATTTCGAGTTGTGGGATTGGAAATATAAGGCTCACAGTTTTGGATTACAGAGTAAGTCTCTGTTTGGCCCAGATCACAATTTGAATGAGTGAGTCAGAAATGTTTTGGCAGATGTTTGACTAAAAAGGTCACAAATACTCAAAAAGAATTGTGTGTTCTGCACTAAAATTTCTATGCCAGTGGTTCTCAAAGGGTGGTCCAGGGACTTCTGTGGTCTCCTAAACACTTTCGAGAGGTCTGTAAGGTCAAACTATTTTCACAATAATATTAGACGTTATTTGCCCCTTACACTCTCATTATCTCAAGAGGGTACAGTGAAGTTTTCTAGAGGCTGCCTAACATGTGATGACATCATCTCTCTGACAGCTAATAGAATGTGTGCTTGCATTCCTGTATTTAATAGATTTCTCCATTTTGATTTTTAATATGGAAAATGATAGTAACTCACAAAAACCAAAGCCCCTGTGGTCCTCAATAATTTCTAAGAATGTAAAGGCATCCCGAGATCAAGGAGTTTGTGACTGGTCTATGCTAATTGTAGAAAAGGGTGACTACTATATGTTCCACATAGAATAAAACCCGAAAATACATCATCATAAAGGAAACCTGGAATCTTGAAGGATGTGATTAATTGCTTCATTTTGTCTGCTCTACAATGGGGCAGAGGCCACTGCTACCATAGTGTTGAATTCTTTTAATGAAAGACATTGAAGGTACCGCCAGGTGAGAATCTACTCATACAGTACAAAAGTGGAAGTTTGTTGCAAACATTTTTGTTTTCAAGAACACTAGATAGGAATCAGTCTCTACAGAAACTCTACAGCTTTGATTTTAAATGATTACTTAATTCTGCCTCACAGTTTACATACTAATTAACAGTATTACTAAGTGTTTTGGCCAAATCCTTTATAGATTCACAAAACTGAAATGACTTATGCTTTCATACCTATGCAATAAAAATGTAGTATTTTTTCAAACAGAAATTTAGATTATTTTAATGAGATGTATTTTTAAACAATAGTCTGACTTGGCCTACCTTCTATATTCAATTCAGGAACAGATGTGACAGAATAGCATTTTTAGAAGTGATACAAGGTAAGACAGTAACTTTAATTTGGATCTACTGACACATTATGTCAACTAAATGGGCTCACCCATTCTTCCTTATATTTTGTATTTCATCTCCTTAACTTATTATTTGTTCACTTTTAGAATGATAACTGAGAAGATAAACTGCACATTCCTTATTTTGACACATAACTCACATAAATCTCATTTCATCAGAGCCCAAGGAAGCACAAAGTTGCCCCAGGACCCACTGTGGGATGGAAGACTGAGGAATGGGTGGGCTCCAAGTCCCTCAGTCTTGCCGTTCCCAGGTCAACCAGATCAGCTCTTTATTTGGTTCAGGGATTCAACGTGAAAATTAACTGCAACCCTCATTTTAGGCTAAATACCTGTGTTGTTAATAGTAATACTCATAATAACAGAATAATTTTCAGTTCGACTCTATTCTCCTCCATGGGAACCAACAAGATCGAACAAAAAGCATGTTACTTTCAGATCATTTCATCAGAAAAATAAGGATAAGACATTATACTCATTTTCAAGGTGAAGTAATATTAAAAATAAGTTATTTTTCTTTTATAATAAGTGATATTTCTGGAATAGAATCTAGGTCTCTGACTCATTTTTTTAAAACTACCAGTCTATAGCTAAGAATAATAAGAATAACCAAATCTTCCTATGTTTATATCTTATATCCGTACCCATCATTTCATTTTCACTGTCTAACAGCCTGTAAGCGTGATGTTTATTTATTCATATCTGAGGTTCAGAGGACTTACAGACCAAGATTAGTCACACATTAATCAAGTGGACCACTCAAGGCTAGATTCAATGTCTTTGGGTGCAAAATTTTCAACTATAAGGCTTTGGTTAAGTAATACTTATTCTATTCCATTAAATGGAAGATATACATACTGGACAAGAGTAGATTTCTTTCTTTTCTTCCTCTCTCCCTTCCAATTTTAAGCCCCTCAGGACAACAATAACCTGGACATCCACCCAGCTTGGAGCCCAGTGGGAACAGAACATGAATAAAACAGGGTTTGGGAGAATGAGTCATGACAAGCGAGGTGAATGATCCCACAGTCCAATAAACCTGACCCCTAAGTCTATCACACTGGGTCAGAAGGTCCAATTATAGGTCTGTTCTAGTTCTTTTTATGATTGACAGCAGCCAGAGGCAAAATTACTTTGGGTGTCTATTAATCCAGGCTCTAATTTTCCCTTTGCCCCAATACACACAAAGCATCATGGTGGCCCAGGGTGAGTGAGACTGTGAATCCAGATTTAAAATGCCCCTGTTTCCTATAAGAATAGCAACTGAGTTCAATCCCGGTCCTCTTCATGAGGACATTACCTGCAGCTCTGTTTGGAAGAAAAACTTCTGTGGACATTGTGTACAGTCATAGATCTTGTCTTCTTGTCCATGGGCAGAGAAAATATGCTGCTGCAACTTGTTTGCTTGAACAAATACTGAAATGATAAAAGAACGGTGAACTTGGGTTATTTTGTTTCCGAAATGCCCTCAGTCAATGACTCTGCGTGAACACAGCAGGCTGGACCGCACGCCTCCCAGGTGTGACTTACTGCTGGAGACCTGGGGAGAGCTGAGTCACATTCGCTCATGGTTGGGTCTCTGGCTTTTGTTAAGATGCACTCTACAGAGCACCTAATTCAACCCAAACAGCTCCAAAGTAAAGGTTTATGGAGGCCCTGCTCCCTATAAATCTTTAAAAAATAAAGCCGAAAACTGTCAAATGCATAGCTCTGTCTCAACAGAAATGACTCCTATTTCTCAGCAACCCACAGGTTAAGAAATCATAGATGCCAAAACCCTGTTTATTGTGTTTGCCTAAAGTTATAGCTAGCAAACAGTTCTCTATTTAAATGTGTTAATGCTAAAAATCATATCCCACAGCTACTCTGGGGCACTGTCTATAAATGTGAAACAGAATGGCAGGTAAATTCTCTTTGGATACTTTAAGATCAACTCAGCCTACACACTGAATGCAAGGGTTTCAATAATATAAACATGTTCAATTTTAATGACTACAAAACAAGGCCCTAAGACTGTGTAACAGTTTACCTAGGAGACATACTATTAATAATTAAATTGTATATGCCAGAGGCAGTGTTTGGGTTGGCAGAACTGACTTCTGATGGATGCCTGGTGCACTGTGACCTAAAAAAGTTTGCATCTACAATATTAATCTGTATAGGCAGGGAAAGGATTTATTAAAGATGTTGGCATTTGACTTTGACTCCACTCTAATCATTAAAATTATTCTAATTGCCAGCCAACCTAAAATATTAGAATATTGTTCTTGTGAGTCATACATTTTAATCACATTTCTCATTACCTTAAAAAAAACTGCTCAGATTTCCTTTCCCACCTAACACACTTTATATTGGAAGGGTTTTAAAAAAATTGTTATTTCTAAATTACTTCAAGATACACTAAAACAATTCAGGTCTGTCTGCAGAGAAAATGCAGACTGTGTACAATTACTGCATTTTTGTCTCTTTATCCATATCAACAAGAAGAAATGAGGTTTTTACACAGATTTGCAGCTAATCTGCATATAACTCAATACATTTTATGAGGCTTCTGGCTACAACATGAAAGACCTATTTTATTAGGGGTCTTAGTTGTGAGGTGACCTATGACCCAGTCCTCCTTTATGAAGACTTACAAGCTTTTATAAAGAATCCAGACTCTTGACTCATTGTATCTTAAGATATATACTACTGATGGTAAACCATAGCAGTATATATTTTTAAGTATAAACCTGGAAGAATAAAAAGAGTTCCAAAAGAAGGATCAAGAGTGGCTGATGGAAGTATTGAATGAAGGAGTCAAACAGGCAACTGTTGAAGGCAGAGTCATCAACGTACCAGGTAGTAATTGTGCTAACTGTGCAATGAACATGGCCCCTCTCCTTTTATTTTATCACAGAACAGAAATCTATAGGCTGAGTTCAGTGAAGGTAAATAATCAATGCTTGGAATTTTGCTCTGCAAACAAAGAAGTGAATTTTGAGAGAAGGATATATTCCCCCTCCTCCAACAAATAAAAAGGCAACATAGCTTGAGGGGCTTAACCACTGAGTCTAAAACACATGCAAAATAATCACAGAGGATTTTCTAAAATAACTTTGTCATTGTTAGGGGAATACCAGAAATGTGTGTGATCATATTTCAACCCCCAAGGGCTTCAAATGAAAGTTCCAGATTTACTTTTTTTTTTTCCTGCTAAAAACTGTAATGCTATCATATTTGTTAAAAAGTTTCTTCTTAAAAGTGTAAATGGAGATCAACTTCTACTCTAAAAATCCAATTTCATAGGCAATAAATGCCTCATCTAATCTGTTTTCTATGTCAGAGAATTTGGGGTGAGTTTTAACAGTATCTTTTTATTTCTGGTGGAGAATGTTATGAAATTCTCCATGTTTAAGTAGCAGACACGTGCTGACAACAAGGCTGCACTTTCAGCTGAACATCTTGTGATTAAAAAGCAGCTCTGTGCAGGGAGCCTTACCCTTGGTAACCTTTAACATCGAGAGAAAAATAAAAAGTGAACACAACATGTATGTAGTTTTCCAAATGGAAAAGTGCAAACTTCTGAGAGAACTTGAAATGCCATTTGTTCATCCTGACAGTTAACCTTCCTGCTCATGTGAGCCTTTAAGTAGGCTGCAATCAATAATGCTAATAAAGCAGAAATCAAACATCTTCCCCCCAAAGTGAACTGAAGTCATGTCTGTAAAAGGCCATAGCAGTGGGAAGTAACGCTTTGGTAGGAAAGACATGATGTGGCCATCAGCCTCTCCTGTGTCTTCTTGAAATAATCTTCCCACCTGTAAAGCAGACTGGACACTTGAAGGTGCCTCCCATCCCTTCGAAGCTGTGCTCTATCAGGTGGCACTGGAGTTTGGCAGGAGAGTCAAAGGTCTGGCTGCAGAGTTTGCATTCATGGTTCAGTCCTTCATCTGTCAAGGAAAACACAGGAACAGAAATGGTGAAAACCTGTCATATCTTTAATACACTAGAGAGTTATCTTTAATTGCATATATTAAACTATTTCCATCACCTAATATACATATGTAGCAGCATATATGGTTTCTGGTTATTTCACATTATTCATGCGTTTATATCAATTTAAAACAGTTCTGGAATTTAAAATCCAAAGATAATCAGAAGTCAGATTTTATCTTAGGGCTAATGCATTTTATTAAACTTTTAAAATATAATTGGTATGTCAATAATGAGGCATTTCCTTTTCTCTAATTACCATGATATTCTGGGCTCTATATTTCCAAAGTCCTAAAATAAAAGAGTGTGGACAGCTTCTTCCTCAGTGATTCTCCTCTGGCTTATCTAGAAGGTCCTGGAAGTGTCTATTTCTAACCATAGGTCTTCAGTGGTATTCAGTTGATCAAACTATCTTTTTCTATTTCCAAGAATTTCTGGCAATTTTGAAGTATCATCAACAGGACAGTCTCTTACAAATGCCCTTTTCTCTGCTTTGCACCTCTAGTCCCCCATAGTCTTCCTAGTTCATCTCTCCCTTACCTCTGTAAGACAGTTTCAATTTTACCCCCAGAACCAGACTCTGCCTCTGTTTCTCTAAAGCACTTTTGTGACCTCCAGGCTCACTTGACTAGCCCTGAATTTTTCTTGGATATCTTAAGAACAAGAAAGCAGAAAAATATTTTGATGTCATAACATTGCTATATAAAGTGGAGAGTTTTGTTACACATAGACACTGTTATTTTAAACATTTATGGATTTTAAACATTTAAAGTTAAAATTTAAAATTTAAGGATTTAAAATGTAAGGATTACCCTAACTTATTTCATTGTGCAATTGTAAGATATAAAAAACTAGGGGCACTAGAGCTAGCAGCCTAGCTCACACTGACTTAGTGTTTGCTGTGTTTCAGAACTGCTCAGAGACACGAATTCATTTAATTGCCCTTAAACCCTATGAGAAACACTACTATTAGTCTCATTTCACAGATGAGAAAAATGAGGCACAGAGAGTTTAAGTAACTTTGCTCTGAGTCACAAGGACTCATAATTGGAAGAGCCAGAACTTGAACGCAGGCAGTCTAGATTCAAACCTGGGCACTCTGGCCTCAGGGACCATATCTTAATAGATATGTTGGGGCACACATCCACTACTTCCAAGACTACTTATTAAACGGTAGAGGCTGCACTTTAACCTGGCTTGTTATCACATTATACTTTTATATTCTCCTATTAGCAATGATTAAAAAACGCTACTAAGATATTCTAGGTCTAGGGAATGAAAGACATCGTCACATTATAAGGGTGACAAGTCTACACTGCAGTTATTTGCTTTCATTCAAAGACACTATGCATGTGTAAGTCCTTCGCCAGCTGATATTACTGGCAATACCAAGTCCCAATTACAAAGTGAGTTATTATTAGCTAACTAGGAGTAAAATCACTCTATTTGTATTCCTAATCTTTCTTCGCATACAAGTATGAGTCTTTGGAAGCAGAGGATTGGAATTTGTAAAAAGAGAAGCAAAGCACTAATTAAGCCACCCAGTACTGTCTACATTTCACAAGAGATAAAAACCTACTCTGTATCTGGGTGGCACAGTAAATTCCTTGATTATAATTATGTAAGAGGGAGGTTAATTGTGCATACTGACATGACAAGGGGTTATACAAAAAGCTTTAGGGATTATATAAGATCAAGGGTTTTTTCATCTGTTTCTTTCTTTCTTTTTTTTAAATCCCGAAGTCACCAAAAAATGTCCAGATTTTAGACATTAAGAAATATAAAAAACACTATTTATTGTAAGAAATTGGATTGGCAAGTTAATCTTCAGAAATACTTGCTAACTTTAAAAGTTCTCTATTTCCTTAATGCTACATACCTTTATTTTGAATAGTAAGAAGGTTACTAAGGGTTTTCATCTCCTTTTAAAATTATGTGGGTTTTGCACAAGAACCAAGGGATGCCCTATGGATATAAGCTGATATACACTTGTTCCAGAATTTTAAAACTTGCAATAGGTGTGATGTAACATAATAGATCTGGCAGGTTTTCCTGGGGATAACGATTGACTGTCACATGAGCATAAAGTGAATTATGCACGTTAGGATGCTCTGTAATGTAATATTATCTTTCTTGACTATGAGTATTTTGTTTGGAAAAATAGAGAAGGAAAAATAAATAAGACATATGTTCATGAGTGCAAGGAAAATGTACTCATTCATTTTTATGTATTTCTTACCCAAAGAAAAGAGTAGTTGCATCCCAAAATGTTAAATAACCCAAATTCGGTCAAGTGAATTCACAAAAAGGTGATACGCACGCATAAAGGTATTTATGCCTTATTAGTGTATACTTATTTTCTACATATTCTATCTTTTATTTGTGAAAGCACTAAGTGACAGCAACAGTAACAATCACATCTAGCATTTTCAGAACTCTTTTTACAGCTTAAAAGTCCACTGTAATGTTAAAAAAAAAAGTTGGAAGTTCTACCTGCCTTTTATTTTTAAGTTACACCGTGAGGTCTTTCCCAATAAACTGATCTCCTAGTTATTTCCACAGGAGAGAAAATATATATGAATTGTTACACAGCACATTATAAGATGAGCAAAAGCCAATACGCTCTTAGGTAGACGTTGAGAATCCTCCCCTTTTCTCTCACCTTTGTTCATTTCCCTACTCCCACCATCTTCACACTTGCTTATTACCTCAAGTTCAAATGTATAATGAGAAAGAGAGATAGTAACACAAAACATTCTAACAACTTGTTAATATAATTCATTTTGTATTTTTTTTAATTAAGGGCAGCACAGGTAGTAACAGAAAACAAACCTTCTTCATACTAAGAATTCCAAAAGTTTATCCTTATTCAGAGTCCTTAACTCTTCTCTTCTAATTCCATAATTACCTTTGTACGGCTGAGAGCTATGTCTGGCTTTTCAAAGAATTTCTGAAAACCCTTAGAACTGGGGGGGATCAGGCTGAGTTAAACCCCATTTCTTTTCAAAACTGAGCTTCTCTCCTTTCTTCCCCCATCTGGTATAAGGTGGTAGAGAACAGTAAATGTAACTGCTGTTTTATTTTAAAGCCAGTGTTCTTGATGTGATACTATCAGCACCTCTACTCAGGATTCTGCCCACAAAGCATAACCTGAATTGTGCCTTTCCCCCTCCTCTTCCTAAAGGTGCCAAAAAGCTTAAAAAATTCAATCAAAATAACCATTTCTGCTCTCTGGAAAGGTAGCAGCTGACAGTAATTGGATAATACAGTCTGACTCATTTATTAAAAAGAGATTCAGAGTCAATTGATTTAATAACCATTACAATATTCCATTAAGGATATAATAGGCTAGTACAGCCCTATTTTTTAATTAAGAATTATAGATGGGATCTTCGAATGAAACTTCTAGATTTTTCTTCTCCTTTTTGCTTATCTATATTCTCCAGATTTTCTACAATGAGCACAATTTGCCTTGTAGGTTACTTCGAAATTAAAAGAGAGAGAAAAAAACCTACCCTTTCTATACCCTATTAATGAAGATTGATTACAACACTGAAATTTTGCTAGCTAAAAAGTTAGATAGGAAATGAGTAATATTATGAAGTACAGAAAAACTCCAGTTTTGCCCAATTAAACTTAAAAGTTTTCTAGCCCAATATGTGCAAAAACAAAAGTTAGCAAGAGGAAAGGGAGAAAGAAGTATCAGAATGCAATTTAGCTATATGAGCAAACATGGAGCTTTCTGTTTGAGCCTGTATCTTTCCAGAACACACGGAATGCCCCTCTCTGTTGTATACTGAGGGAGGTGTACGTGTCTAGCAATGGGGGTCCAATGTCAGAGTGGGGCCTTTACCATTGAGAACATGCTGGAAGCCAGCAACTTCCTGTCTTGGTCACCCACTGGAAGGCATGACCAAAGCTACTCTAAGCATAATTGAGAAATCATTTCACATGTATAGAAATTTCAGCTAAAATAATTATTTCCATTTGTTAATCTTCATTTAACTGTGAACATAAATGTAAACAGGAATCAAGTCTACATAAAAGAGACTGATGCTAATGTAAATATTTACTCCAATATTAAATGTTTCAAAGGAAAGCGTCTGCATACATAATTGGACTACAACCTCCCTGACTTAGTAGGAAACGTGATAATCACTTACAAAATTTTGTGCTCTAAGAAAACCATCTGCTTGTCTAAAGCCAGTTCAAAGACGAATGACAACTTCTATGCCTCCAATTTATAGACCATGGACCTACGTAACTATTTATTAGCCTGTTTTATAACAGAAGAAATATTAGTTACCATTTGGATGCTCAAGCACAGGTTTGAATTGTGAGCTCCAAGGTGGCAATTGTTAGTTTAACACAAGACACTGACATTTCAATATAAGCTTTAAAAAAGAGAAACCCTTTAAGCAGCCTCCAGACTGTGTGTCCCATGTTTATACTCCTTTTCCTTCAATAAAAACAAAAATCTAGAGTGGCTACAAGCAAATGTTCAGTGGCTGACTTACATACAGCTGTTATCCCAGGAATCACTGGGGGCCCCCTTATATCGTCTGATCAACACTACAGCCATTACTGAGGGCCAATTTGTAACAGTTTATAAGTAGAACTCCTTCTCCCTTTTACCGTTGAGACTGGCCAGAAGGGTCCTCCAGCCTCTTCCACTGCATAAATCTATAGGCTAAAGTCCACAGATATAAACCCCTCCTGCTATATCATCATGTGGCCAGGGCCATACTTAAAAGCTGTGATCTGAGTGGGAGTAAACTCTGCCCTCAGAATCCAAACAGAGGAATCAAATGCCCTACAGTTGTAACTTATCCAGTTCGAATGTGTGTTACCACTATATCCTCACATATATTTTTAAATCCAAGAAAACTATGCCCTAACCCAATTCCCAACCCCCGATCCTTTACTTTGCTTCTCCTCTTCCCTGAGTTAATTTCCA